AACGGTGTGAAATCACGCGATCTTGGTGGCCAATCGACCGACCCAAAACGTGAAATTATCTGCTTATGTGTTCGTTCATTAAATCCATTGATTGATGCGATGTGTGGAAAGTGGTACCGCCTTGTTGAAACCAACTGTCGCCGAGATCACGAGCTTCAATTTCAGGCAACAAATAGTCGGTTATCATTGCGCGATAACGGTCGCCATTGACGGTTACGTTTTCACCGGCATCATCAATTACTCCACTAGGCCGTTTATGTCGACCGTAAGTTGAGCGAAGCGCGCGAAACACATTCTTTACAGAACGTGAATTTTCGTAATAAAAATAAACGACTTGTAATTGTTGTTTGAAGTGTTAGAAGCAACTGCTTTGTGAACAAAACAATTATAATATTGAGCAACATATGACGAGAGTAAAGATGCATTCATAAATATAATATTATATTTATTATTGTAAATTAGCGAAGGCTGTCATGCGGCTGTATATTTCCAGAATATTTGTAAGTTCTACGACAACTGATTAAACGACGATTGTGTTTGATTCAGATTATGTAACATACACCCGTACCGTTAAAAGATAAGAAGTGCTTAAAATCCACAAAATAATATATATTTAGATTCATAGTGTTTGGTATATTTTTATTCGTATGTACTTTTCTATGGTAATCTATGGTTTCTATCCAACGAATTATCGCTTTTCTAAATGGATTTCAATGATAAAAGAAATAGTAAGTAATTTGTTGTAGTAGAAACTAGAACTTGAAAAAAACTGCGATAATGGAAAAAATTATACAGTTTTACAACAAGTTGGGCAGGTTATGATAGATTTGATAACTATTGAATACTTTGATCTAGATGGTCGAAAATACTGATATAACATGAACTTTAGTTTTTCTTATTTGTTGATTGTTTGCATATTATAATATTTAAATAAATAATATATGTTAGTTTTACAACTTCTTGTAAATCTTAAGCAAACTTATAATATAAAAAAGTTAGTTCGTAAAGCTTCCAAAAGCTAGAAGAAATTTGTTACCCGTTATAAAAGAGTTCATTATTCGAAAACAAGCAATCTCTTCTGATATATAATATGTATTGAAAAAACAGTCTCTCTTGATGTGAAATACAAGGGTTTTGCGAAATTATACTCACCGTCCGATGGCGCAACTATCGCAGGTCATAGTTACTTATGGTACTAACAAGTAGAATTGGACCTACGTAGGAACTACACGTGTGCGCAGAAAAATGAAAAAAGAGTTTGGAAGGTTGAAGTTGGCTGACTATAAGTGTGCAAAATAGTTGAGAGCGTTGAAACTAGGAAGGCCGCGTGTTTTATATGGTTGGATTGGTCACTGAGCATAACTAGAGCAACTTTGAGACCTCCTCCCAGCAGTACTTCACGTTTTAAGCGCAATTCGAAATAGTTTCTGCATCGCTTTATGGATGTTTGCGAATCATGGATCCTCACAGTCGATTAAGGAGAAACCTGCCCTATCGCTTAAATAAGTGATGACCGCAGTTTTCTGGTCAGCTTTTTTTTTATCTACTACTCTACCTGACAAAGTGTAAAAATAGTAATTGAACCAATTCGACACAAATTGAGGGAAAATTTTTCTCACTAAGCGATGAATAATTATTGTTCCATCTTAGTGTATATTTAGGGAGATGGTTCCGTGTGGACTGAGTTCACGAATTGTTGTAACAAATATTTATTTCAATTTATATTCGACAAATATATTGTTAAGTCAACCTGACTTATGTAATCCAATACATTTAGTGTAGCTTGATTGGTTTAGAAGATATGTACGTTAAACCTCTTAGTTATGGCACCTTAAAAGTTTTGTTTAATGGCGTTTTGTGGGCGAGGCAATGTACGATTAAGCCCATCTACGTAGGCGTCCTGCATTTTTTTTATGTACCAAGTTTATTTTGATATCAAAATTTTTTCTCAAGCTACAGCTTGCACATATAGATGGATATACGGACGGACAGACAAACATCCAGATTTTAACTCGTCTCGTTCTCTTAATCATTTGGGTGTATATACTTCATATCTGTCCCGTTTTAGGCTATACTTACAACCGTTAGGTGAACAAAGCTATAGTACAAGTAGTTTGTAGCAACATGTTGCAGGAGTATAAAAAACACAGACTCGGACTGACAGACATATTTGGGATAACTCCTGCTTAATTAATGAAAATTTTTGTATGTAGCATATGGTAGCTGAGGTAATCCGTTGACCAATTGTATCCATTTTCTACATAGAACTCTAATATAACGAATATAATACGTTATGTATGTGGAGACTAGCGAAAGTATTGACCCGATTTTATGGTTTTTTACACGATGGTCCACTGTTATCAGGAAAAGAGAATTTCAATAACATGTCTCACAATTTGGCCGATAAATCGATGTCCGCCTTTGGCATTAGTATCCACGTATTCGGTATCTTTGGGCTTGAACCGCTATGATTCGATTATAATCAATTTTGATTCTTTGGTGCTTGATTTGCATACGGTAAAGAGGAAGGATTTTACGGAACTTAATATTATGTTATACTATTTGGGAAGTAAGTGTGATTGTTGGCCGACTTGGCTTGGGAATGTCTGAGGCATAATATGTACCGAATCTAAAAATTATCGAGCAGGTCCTGAATTATGGGATCGTTGCCAAACCGATTGTTTAGTTTTCATACCGGCTACTATGAGACCCTTGTATATCATCTTTTTGTAAAATCTTATGTCTCTAACATATATAGTTTTTGCTTTATTGCCCTTTAGTCGTAAGACGTGAGAAAATGATTTGTCCTGTTCAAATTGTATGATTACTTGAATATTTTGGGGGACATATGTATACACTAGGGTGGGTAAAAAAAGAATGTATTTTCATTTTATGTTCTGTAAAATTGGTTGATAGACACATCTTAGAAAGGCTTTACAAGTATGAGCTCTTAATTGTAACGGAAAGGTACTCCTAGGTTTTCTATTTTTTTCTTATTGTCGGATTGAAAAATCCATATTCCGCTTCCAATTACTTGAAATCATATCTCGTTTCACAGATTTTGTAGAAAAGTAAATGCTCTACAATATGGTCTTTTACGGATTTTTCGTAAACTTAACCATTTAAAAGATAATAACGGTTGAAATTTAACTATTTTAAGGCAAATTTGTTTTATTTTTTAACTTAATGAAAAACCAGCATTATAAATTGCAAAGTTCATAGACTTGAAGGAAATTTTCTGCTCAACAAAAATGTTCTATATAATTTTTCGATTAAGTTACGCGTTAACGAGATATTCAACGTCAAACATCAATGTGTATCAAAGAAAAAAAATTTTAAAAAAATAGTAAAACAAGGACCACAAAAGCACTCGCCCGATTACGCCCAACTGCAATACCAACCTTCTTGCGGTGCCAAAAAAACATGTGTACCAAGTTTTGTAAAGATATCTCAACTTTTCCTCAAGTAATAGCTTGCACAAATGGATGGACGAACGGATAGACATCCGGATTTTAGCTAGCCTCATCATCCTGAACATTTATATATACATACATAGCTCTATATCTATATCTATTTCGTTTCGTTTTATGTGTTACAAACAAACATTTGGTGAATAAAAACGATATTGTATATTTTTGCTACGATATCTTACATATTGACCGATATATATGATATAAAACCAACTTAAAGATTGAAAGTCGTATATAGAGTATAAGGCGGCTGGTGGTAGTATTGATATAATATAATATTATCTATTTTTAGGGTTACGACATATCATTAAAGGTTAAGGGAAATATTGTCCCGATTTTATCTGTTTTTACCCCAGGGACATAAAAAGTTTCATTGATTAAAATATTAAAACTTACAGAACACTAAAGAGTCACCCATAGGCACTGTGGTCAACATATTTGTTAGTTGTAGACTTCGGAAGGTATGAGCCGATTTCAAGGATTTGTGCAATATTCCGATTCCTTTTCGTTTTAATTTGTTTTATTGCGCACTAAATTTCGGGGAACTTAGTGTTGTAGTTCTTGGGTTATAGGATTTCAAATTAAAGTGGGTAGTGCCAGGCCGATTGTCAACTTCTATATACATCGCTACCTGAGAATCCCTAAGTCCGATGCCCTCTTTGTACTAAATTAAAGTTTTGTATCTTAAGGAAGAGCTTAATTACGGCACCTTATAAGTTTTAGATTAATTGCACCTTGTGGCTGTGGTAATCGCCGGAATGTGTACCAAATTTGCTAAGATATTTCAATTTTTACTTAAGTATTTCAATTTTTATTGCGTGCACGGATATAACTGACCTCTTCATGGCCATTTATATAGATATAGGGTTTTACATATATACATATATCTTTCTTGATCATTTTAGGTGATAAAAACGACTGTAATTAAATTTATTAAATAATGGTACTGTAGATACGTATTATGTACGCATATACTTATATGAATTAAAGTGCACGGCGTGGTTTTAATACGAGGTCTCGGTTTAGTTGTTGTTTTAGTAACTAAGCGATAACAAATTACTGCTTTCTTAGTTAAAAAATTGAAGTCTATATGTAAGAATATCTGCATATATACATTAAATGGCAGGGCAGAAAATTTATACATATTTACATACGTGAGTCTAAGCTGTCGAAAAAGTTTTACTTTTGGTTGTGATAACACATATACACGTTGGTGTGTATATGTTGTATTGTACGCGAAATAATATAATTTCAGCAAAAGCAAACTTTAAGAGCTAAAAATTATTTTTCTTGTTGATTGGTGTAATATTTTTTTTTGTAATACATGTTTATGTCTCGAGCACTTTATTTTATGCCCGTTTTTTTTTGTCGAAAGCGGATACAATCAAAAATAAATTTGTTTATGTGTGGGTTATTTGCTCATATACAATTTTGCACTCAGATTACCCAATGTACTCTGACTATATTTGTTTCTCATGACATCCTCGTGTATGAACTAAATGATTGTGATTTAATTAGTTTATTAAACGAGTTCGGCATTAAAACACGTTTCCTAAAATGATCAGCTATTAATATTCCAGTAAGCGTGTCAATAAGAATGGTTTCGCGTAAATATTTTATGATTTGTATGTTATTAACTTTGCTAAGGAACACCGCTAGTTTAAACTTTGTAGACTATTTAAATAATGCTATTAACATTACAACAAGCTTACCTACACACATATCTAGTACCTCGGATATAACAGCCACATCTACTTCTCCAATTACTAAATGCGATATCCAAATGAATAACGGAGATCCCAATTCGGTTCGTGAAGATCTTTGTGAATGTGCAGACGGTTATGCAATTATTGACCATGATGAATATGACAACAAAATTCCGTTAACTTGTGTTGAAATATTGCCAGAAACGAGCACAATAACAGAAACGGAAGACATTAAAACGACGGCGACAACAGAAACGGAAGACATTAAAACGACGGCGACAAGTTCAAAACTAAAACCAATAAGGAAGAAAGAAACATTTCGTGCAACTGGTTCTCTACTGGGTTATTATATAACAGGAGGAGCGCTGTTTACGTTAATGATAACTGCTTCAGGTGGGTTTAATTGAATTCAAACAATAAAATATTATCTTCAAGGCATAAATTTAACCGAAGTAAATAACAAAAATTAAATTATAAAATTCTTTTAAAAATATTTTATTTTCTAATTGCAGGATTGCATTATATATGGAGTTTACGAAGAAACGGGTATTATGAAATTATACATTTTGTTTAAGAATATTACATTGTGATTCAGAAATGCCGAAAATAAAACAAACAAATTATATTTTTACTAATTGTTATTAGACAAAGGATATAAAAGATTAGCAAGGTAAATTTAGTTTAGAAGTAATATAATGAATTCAAAATCTTGTCAACCCTTAAATTGCTGCATATTTTGGTGAAATGCTCGTAGTAAATTATCGGTTTCGTTTTACAAAACTGAAACCGCTTAATCTTTATTTATAATAGTATTTTAGAATATATCAAATAATTCTAGAATATTTTGTTGGCTTCAGGTCTTCGCAATCACTTTTGATATTATAAAAGGATTTTTTTTTAATGAAATGTGGGTTTCATAAAGAAATAAAACGCAAATATTTTTATGTTATGGCAAGAATTTAGCTTTATTATAAAGACAAAGGTTTTTTATTACATTTAAAAAAATAGTTCGGGTAAGTGAAACTGTGGCTGGCTCGAATAAGTTTCAGCCGGGAGGCCCAGTTTTCGACCACTTTTTGTAGTTATCGGTTAGTGAATGTTGAGGCCGTATGTCAGCAATAATATTCTCTTCCAAGGCGTCAATCGTCTCGGCATTATCTACGTACACAAGCGATAGGCGTTAGCTGATTTTCTCTGCCCCGCATAACACACCAAACAGCGATATTTTAACAACGTAATGGCGTTAATGGACTGTGTGTTATTATCAACTGCGCTGCAATTTTGTTTATTAACGTACCAATTTAACCTAAAGTGCGCTTCATCTCGTTTTGGGCTCAATTACCGAACGTGTAACGCTCTTGATGATCATTCGGCTTCAATTCTTACATTAATTGGATTTTGTAAGGCCGCAAACCGAGATCCTTCGTCAAAATCATCCCTAAGGTGATTATAGCGCGCGATAACGGATGGACTCATTCGGGTCTATCTAGCGTGTCATATTTTTATGGATGGCAACTTGAAGGTAAATAATGAACGAATAGCAAAGACAAAGAATTTGGTTGGTAGCTTAATATTGATCGAGTATATATTATATGAATGATATACTCGTACAATAGTCAGCATTTCCGTACTTCTTGAGTTTGTATGTTGATAAGACACACACGCACAAACGCCTCAATATACTTGTATACACATTTATGGTAAAAATTCGAACGGTATCATAGGATATATCTGTATGTATAAGGAATTATTATTTTACATTATAATATAACAATATAAAATCGAAAACAAAAACATACTAATAAAAATCTAATGCGGAAGTTGTGGTTTTAAAATTTTTATTAAGAAATATTTTTCTTTGCGTGATAGGGCCTTTAATTTCTATATATGTTATTTGTTCTAAACTTCAAGCGACAAGCACATTAAATTCGCAGGTGTTGCAGAATTAGTTCTTAAAGCTTTACTTATGTGCTGTTGTATTTTGTATGTTATATTTTTACCCAAGTTATCAGTTGGAATTCAATTCGTCTTGTCAACTATTATACTCTCGCAACAAATTTCACGAGTATAAACATTTAGATCTGGTCGCTAAAATAATTATTTACGAATTTCTTAAATATCAAGTTCCATAGATTATAGTAATTTGGGTTTTTGAGTTGTATATTAAGACTTTAGATATAACAAAATATTATTTAGAACAAAATTTTTTCTCGAACTATCAGTAATAAAATATATAAGTAGAGGTACTTTCTTTGACAGATCACGCGTGAGTCGTGTCAGGCTGTTATGCAATTTTTGTTCAGTATTGTTTGGCATTTGATCATGGAAAGACCTACGCCTGAACAACATTTACAAATCGGTCAACTTTATTACAAAAATTCACATTCTGTAAAGAATGTGTTTCGCGAGCTTCGCTCAAGTTATGGTCAACATAATCGGACTACTAAGTGAACTATTCGCAACACCATCACCCATCTTGAGACCCAACATTCATTATTGGATAATATTTGACCGAATATACCAGGTCTAGCAGGCAGTGATGAAAATATAGCAGCCGTACCTGAGAGTAGACACGAAGACCGTGCAGAATCGATTCGGCGCCGTTCGCAGCAACTCGGACTGATGTATGGAACGACTTGGAACATTTTAGGTCGAGATCTTAAATTGAAAGCGTATCAAACACAGCTTGTGCCAGAACTGAAGCCGCTCGACCTTCCCAAGTGACATCGCTTCGCCATATGGGCTCTTGAAAAGTTCCAAGAGGATCCGAAGTTTTCGAGCCAAACTTTGTTCAGCATGAGGCCCATTTCTGGCTCAATGGACATCTAAACAAGAAAAATTTCCACATTTGGAACGAAGAGCAACTTGAAAAAATTTAATAGCTGTCATCCAGAAAAAAAAACGGTTTGGTGTGCTTAGTAGGCCGGTGGAATAATCGATGATCCCGGCGAGAACGTAACCGTCAATGGCGACCGTTATCACGCCATGATAACCGACCTGAAATTGAAGTTCGTGATCTCGGCGACAGTTGGTACCAACAAGGCGGTACCACTTCCCAAACATTAAATTAATCAATGGATTTACTGAGAGAACACTTCGATGAGCAGATAATATCACGTTTTGGGTCGGTCGATTGGCCACCAAGATCACACCGCTAGATATTTTCCTGTGGAGATGTGTAAAGTTTAAAGCTTATGGCTCCGGAGCTCCGGAAATGCTCTAACGAGTCATCGAAAATCGGACACAACGGATGGACCAACTTAGACGTAGCCGCGGCCAACATTTGAAAGAGATAATCTTCAAAAACTAAATGTCAAGGAATGTTCTTTTGAATCGATATAAACATTCCAAATACTACATATACCTCGTAAATATCACAATTAACTCATTAGCCTATCCCTATTTTATATATATTGAAGTCGAGTACGTTTAAGGATTCAGAATAAAATAATATTTCTATACCCCTTTCAATATAATTGTTACTATTAGTAACTAATTTTGTTGCAATAAAGCCCCGATCAGTTAGGTAAAGTATGGAAATTTAACCGAAGATACTCAATTCTAAAGTAAAACCTTTTTTTCCGTAAAACTAATTTATCTGCTCTTAGTATATTTTCTTCTTGGAACCTTAGGTTTAATCGTAGAACCTTAGGTTTAATGGAGAAAATCGCACTAATCAAAGTAATTCCTGTAGAAAGTTCTCACGATAATTCAATCTATGTATTAAAATGGGCACGGATTTTTATCCGGCAAACAACCTACAACCGGGCGAAATTCCTTAAGTTATTATGAGTCTTAAGGATCTTAAAGATAAAATTAGAGCTTTAAAACGTATATAATCTATATAAAAATTTTCTAAAGATAATAAGATGAGATGAGGTGAGGGTTGCCTGGCAGGAGGTAGCAACTGACGAACAGTCTGGCAATAGATGATAGAAATATCTCCCGAGTCTCTTGGTGTTTATTACCGGGATCTTTGTGACTGTTGTCGGGATCTGCGTCAAATAAAGTAAGCATTGGTAGCTGAATTCTATACGGTACACCTAAGACCATACACCCAGTAAACTTTCAAAAGAGGCTGTTACGGAAAAAAACATTAAACAAATACGGTTAGTGAAATTGGATGACTATCAAATCAAGATAATTTAGATAGCTGACACTTTAAAGCTATCAGAATTATTGAGATTTTAGGTAAGGAATATTTGGAGCCTGCGTAGTGAATCTTTCCCTACTTACATACATTTCATGATTAAATTTTTAACTAACAGTACGTTTCGCCCGGCTCCCTTTCAGCCAGCCAATTCAAAACATGACATAACCACCACTTGTCGAAAAAAATATCAGAGTATATGCAAGCCATATTACTAAAGTTTCATAGGTAGTATTCATGCATAATAAGGCAACATTGAAAATAATATCAATAATTTCATATGTTTCTCTATTTCCACATTCTCAATAAGTGAAATTCGTTCGCCTTATGCGACTTATCACTTCCTTACTTGTTTTGAAGCATAAATATTTAATGTGGATTTCTATATCCTCAGCACTCAGTAATAAGTGAAAAATCTCTTGCAGGATATTCTCGTCTGTCTCATATTACCTAATGCAATTTAAAACAAAAACTTTTCTGCTGATTCTTTTATCTGTTTCAGTTAGGCATCCGCTGCATTTCATTTTGTGCAATCTCATTTCCTTTCGCATGAAATTCCTAAAACGTTATTAAATTTACCTTAAACCAAAAGAAAGAGTGACAATTTTTCTACAAAGCAATCAGTTCGAAATAAAGACATCGAAAATTCGAAAAAACTGGAAATCGTAAAGTGGATAGCATGTGTGTGATATTGGTATAGGTATGTTTGTCAAGGGCGTTGAAATACTTAAATTTGATATTCCTTACTCTTGCTTTTGGTACATATGTGCATAAAGAAATTTATTGTGAGAAGATTTTTGGTTCACATGTGCATAATGAAACTCACACATATGCAATACTTGAAAAGCAATTTCGCACTTTCGTTAGTGATGTTACATACATAATCAATATCCTACTTTACTGCATTTAATTCAGTAATTGCTGCAGCAGTGTTACTATAAGTTTTATGTCGCAATATATAGTATTTTTCAATGAACAGGACAATTCCGAAAGTATACGAATGTTTGAAACACTATAATTGTGAGCTTAAGAAATTAAAACCGTTTGTACATAAATTTAGATAACGTTTTAGAAACAAGTTTTCCTCAGGTACCATGGATATATTTATAAAAAGAAATATATTACATATCAAAGCTAATTAAATTACGTTTATACTGGGAAAAACGTTTACTATGGCAACCATATTGTTCGGGCCTATATTTCGTCCGATTAGTGTTCTTAAAGTCAGTTCTCTTGCGAAAATTTTAATTACATATGTGATTGCCTATTTTGAAAGAGAATATTCAGATTAAATATAATTGGTCTGCATAACCGGAAAAAGAGTCAGTTATAAACAGAAAAGGCAAAAATAGAAAAACAGAAAATGTATATGTAAAAAATGATTTGACTTAAAACAAGTTATCTTAAAACAGTTTTGAAAACCCCGTTATATAATACAAATATTGCATATTTATGACCGTATCCGATTCTGATTT